GATTTTGTTCAAGTAAATTTAAGTATAGAAAATTTATATATATATGTGTTTGTTTTTTGTTTGTTGTTGCATATCTTTTTTTTTTTTTTTTTTTTGAATTTAATCAAATTTAATTATCTCTTTAATATAAGAGAGGAAAAACACACGCACACACGTAAATATAATAAATTTAATGTTCTTTTTTTCTTTTACCCCCTTGTTTGTTTCTATCACATTAATATGAAAGATATAATTTATGAAAATAATTACAACGGCCCTCAAAATAATATATCAAAATATATTTCAACAAAACCGGGAAAAAATATATACGCGACTTTTCTAATTAAGGAATATATGGGATTACTATTTCTCATTATAGAAAAATAAATGTTTAAATAATTCGTAATCTATATATAAACACGTATAATAATAACTTCAGGCCATTTTCATAATCATTATCATCGAGTTCAATTTATGATCATCGTTACTTGATTCAAAAAGATTAAAAACTCTCATTTTAATTAAATAAGACTAATTTAAATTCCTTATTATATTTCTCTTACCTCGTACATCAATCATGATTATCATTCTACATTACAACAAAACAAAACAGAATAAAAAAAAGAATAACATCATTGTAATTAACACATAGGGGCTTATTTAAAAACAAAAAAATCCTCTACATATATATATATATGAATTTGTAATAGAATATGTAAATATATTAATAACAGAAACCTATTTAACCCTTTGAATGTTGAATACTTTTAACTAAATTATTTTCTACAAATAGAAATAGTTTATTATTAATATGACCAGATGTTAATATTAATCAATTATATTAATTAATAATAACAATTATTATTGTCTCACAATATTATTTTCATCCGACAAGATACAACAAAAATGATTACCATTATTTAACATTAACATTGATAAACACACACGCGTATGAATTTTTACCAAACGCACACTCAAAGGGTTAACAACAAAAATTTTCAACATTTATTCTTACGGTTACCATTTACCTCTCGTATAATAATAATAATTGTCGATAGGTTTAAATTTGATGAAAAAAATAATCGATAGA